GTTTCTTCTCATTTATTATTCAATCATTTGTGTATTTCTTTTCTACTTTGGGTTACAATCCAGCACTATGTTGTATATTTGTTGTTCAAATTGTTCCAGTTTGCCCACTGGGAGGGAGCTCTTTCAGACTGGCCCTGGTATCCCCTTGACATGCCTCAGTCCTTCCCTGCCCCCACCCCGGGATGTTAGCTTTTGATGTAAAATTTGGTTTTCTTCCCCACCTGTGCACTGAAATTGCTTTAAGGTCCTTTAGATTACAATGGCTTCTAGATTGTCAGGCCAACGTCTGATTTTCTTTTCCTAGTTTACCAGATCTTTCTGTGACAATACAATTCATCTCTTTCTTCCAAATTGCATTTCATTTTCTACAAACTTATTATGGCATTTTCAAACACAGACCAAGCTACATAAAGAGCATAATGAATCTCCATGTGTCCATCTCCCAGCTTCAACACTTCTTAACACTTTGCTCATCTTGTTTCACTGGTCACCTCTCACATGCTCTGTCACTGAAATGCTTTATTTTTCCTTTTATTAGACGGGGGGAGGGGGAAGAGGGAGAGAGTCTTAAGCAGGCTCCATGCCCAGTGTGGAGCCTGACGGTTGGCTCAGTCTCATGACCGTTTGAGATCATGACCAGAGCCAAAATCAAGAGTTGGATGCTTAACCGACTGAACCACCCAGGTGCTCTGCCACTAGAATACTCTAAAGGAAATCCTAGGCAGGGGTACCTGGGTGCCTTAGTTGGAGGAGTGCGTGACTCTTGATCTTGGGGTCATGAGTTCGAGCCCCATGTTGGGTGTAGAGATTAAATAAAACTTAAAAAAAGGGGGGGGTGCGACTGAGTGGCTCAGTTGGATAAGCAACTGCCTTCAGCTCAGGTTATGATCCCGTCTTGAGATTGAGTCCCGCATTGGGCTCCTTGCTCAGCAGGGGGAATCTGCTTCTCCCCTCTCCCTGCTCATGCTCTCTCACTCACTCTCTTTCAAATAAATAAACTCTTTAACAAAAGAAAGAAGGAAATCCCAGAATCCTAGACATTCTATGAATTCAGCTGTAAAGAGTAGTATCTTTAACAGGTAAGAACTTTAAACAAACAAAACAAACCACAACCACCAAAATACTATTACACCTAACAAAATTAATAATTCTTTGATATCCTTTAACACCCCATATTCAAATTTCCCCCCAGATTTTAATAATTAATTTGCTCAAATTAGGATCCCTACAAAGTGCACACATTACGTCTTGTAACAGTCTCCCCCTCTTGCCGCCACCCCTTCTGCAACAAACTTTTTAAAAACCCAGTTGTTGAAGAAACTAGTTTTTTTTTGTCCTATCAAATTTCATATATTCTGGAATTGTTTCATAATGATTGTATCTTTGTATCTTCATAGAGTCTTTTAACATGTTAGTATGAACTTCCTGCAAATTGGTACTTAGTCTTAGATTCTGTATGCGTACATGTATGTATCTGCAATATACTTGAGATCCTTCTTTGTATCTGTGTCTTTGCAAAAAATACTACATCAGCGGTGAAGTCCACTTCCCAATGCATCACAGTAAAAGCCATATTGTCTGGTTGTCCCACTTGTAATTTTCCCTTTCGAGACACGCCTAGCTCCCGGCTTTCCTCCTCCTCCTCGTTGCCATTTCTTCTCCGTTCTCTTCACAGACTTTTATGTTTTCAAGTCATTGTTCTTCAGGGCCCCGCTGTCACTGGCCTATATATATGGTCTCTATATGGTCCCCTTTTCCAGATTCCTAAGGCTGAGGACTCAAATGTCTGTATTTTTGATGCAGACCCTCTCCACTGAATTCCAAAGGCCAATGCCTAGTGACTGGCAGGAGGATGTCCCTGTATGTTGTGAGCTCTTCAAACCCTGTCCTATATGTAACCTGTCCCAAACCTCTTTCTCATTGTCCTCTTTACCTCAATGATTAAAACCACCATCCAAGACGGAAACCTAAGCCATCCTAGCTTTTTCCTCACCTGCCCAAATCGCTGAGCCACAGAACATCTAGATCCTCCATATCTCACGTGTCCCTTTTCTTCTAGCTGCTCTAGCCTCATTTCTACAGTTCAGACACAACGCAAGTGCGCTACCCAGGGTCACACATTCTCAAGCAGAGCTAGGACTCATATGTAACCCCATGCTCCAGCACAGAATACACTGGAATCTTGCCGAGGGCTGTCATCACCTCGATTCTTTGCTATGCTTTGGGTATATTGTGTTATATACATCTTGTGAATATGGTTGTAGAAGTCGACTTCAGTGGGGGGAAGCAGCCCAGTGGGGAGTTTAGGAGTCAGAATATCTGGGTTTCACACCCACTTCCACCACCCAAAGTGCACTCGGTTAAGTTGGTTAATTTCTCTGTACTGTTTCCTCATCTGCAAAACAGGGATCACACCCCCTCACTTTTCTGAAATCCCCAAAGCTCTGGAAACCGGAGTGTGTGTGTGTGTGTGTGTGTGTGTGTGTGTGTGTGTGTTTAAAATAGTTTGTTTGGCAGCCAGACCTGACTTGACGGTAAGGATTTGATGACAAAGCCTGACCTGAATGAAACGGAGGATATTTATGGTTTTTACTTATCCCAGTTAGAATATCCTTCCATTCTACTGCACAATTGTCTTTGATGACAGGCTGCCCACCTAGCCTGCTGGGACAAGTTCTAGAACATGCTGTTGTACTTCTGAAAAGTACAACAATGTCTGTATTCCACAACACATCTGACCTCAGGGTTTTGGGAAACAGGTTGTATATCCGAAATAGCTGCTTCACAGGTTTGTTGCGCGGGCTGGCTGCTAAAGCCGTTTGTATTCGTAGAGCAATCAGAGAAGTGTGTGGCCGTAGTAAGCCCCACAGAAGCATTTAACGTTTCAGTACCAGTTAACCCTATGAATGTAGTGAAAGATAAACTGTATCAGAATAGTTTGAGGGGCGCCTGGGTGGCTCAGTGGGTTAAGCCTCTGCCTTCGGCTCAGGTCATGATCTCAGGGTCCTGGGATCAAGCCCCACTTGGGCTCTCTGCTCAGCGGGGAGTCTGCATCTCCCTCTCTGCCTGCCTCTCTGCCTACTTGTGATCTCTCTCTCTCACCCTTTCTGTTAAATAAAATCTATAAAAAGAGTTTGATGAATTTGGGGGCTTCCATCAAAGTGGGGTTCCTACCATAGCTTTTCTGTAGAAAGAGATGAATATCAGACGGGAAAAGCCCTTCTGAATGGCACTCCGACCCTCTCCCTGCTCCGAAGCAAGCACTATTCTGAAACTGTATGGATCTTATCCATGCAGGGTTCTTGATTTTCAGACATGTATACGCATCCACAGTATGTCTTTTTGTTTAGAACAAAGAACGACCCAGCCCCGAAAGGCAGCCGATGGGAGGCCGAGGAGCCCGGCCCTTCCCGTCCTCGCTCCCACTGCTGCAGCTCGTGCGCAGGGTGCGCTGCACACCTGTCCGCCTCTCCTCCTAGCGGGCCCGTTCCCCGAGGGAAGGCAGCAGGGCTTAGCTAAGTGGAACAGAAAGGACTCAAAAACCCGCTGAGTAAATCCACGAACAAATCAATCACGGGTCCCTCCCAGACCCCAAAAAGCCAAAGGCGCCATCTGAAGAGCGGACAGGGAAACATTTCTCGTTATTTGGAAGAAGTTTCCTGCCCTGGGCTGCCACCGGCACCCTGGCAATCTGTAAAGGCGGGGACTACATGGCAATGTTTCCTTAGTCTTGCCCATGGGGCCAGCACTGTGTGTTCACTGTGTGACTCGCATGCGGTCTTCACGAGGACCCCACGCGGGGGCATCAATACCCACCTGGGAGAGGAAGGCCGAGCGGCTCGCCCGCCCGCACCTGCGCTGACAAAGCCAGTGGGCCTCGGCCCGCTGCCTGGTCTCTTCCTGGGAGGGAATGCGAGTCCTTTGTCAAGAGGATGGTCCACTCTTCAATCGCTAAGAATCTGCTGCAATTACAGGCTTTGGTTTGTATTTGTGCCCGAGCCACACTTATTTTCTACTTTGCTGTAGGAGTTTCACAGAAAAAAAGCGAGAGCTACTAAGGCTTTGAAATTTTAGTCATGTGTCACCTCAGGGGAAGTTAATTCTGATTTTTGTCGGCAAGACCCAAGCACAAATCACAGCTCCAGGAATACAATGAGAGCTTGGGAAAATAAGCACCTGGGGCTGGTGAGAGCAATGCATTTGTCTCAGGGCAGGGGCTGAAATGTGGTGCGCGAAGTGTTCTTCAGGAGAAACATGTCAATACTCAATCTTTTCCCCAACCTTTGATGGATGTGCTAATCTTCTCAGGTCAACATGCGCTCACCCTGCAACATACTGTAATAACCTATTTAAAAGGCAGCTGGCTTTTATAAATGGACTGTTCCATCAATTTTTAGATTTTTATCCTCAGAAATGCATTCTCTTCTCAAAGCAACATCCGCTATACACGGTAAAAGCTCAATTATACTTTCTCTACGACAGAAGATACTGCAGAGGTGAGCAGGTTTGGGAATTACTGTTCTTTGCTCTCAATTCCGTGCGACATTCAAGCTCTGTAGAGATAATGCGATAACGGGAAAAATGTCAGGACGGTTATTCTCATTCCATTAGAGCAGCCGGTTCGCAAACTACCGCCCATAGGCAAAATCCGGCCCGAGGCCTGTTTTTACAAATAAAGCTTTGTCAGAAGGCGCCCATGCCCATTTGTTTACTTACCATTCAGAGCTGCTTTCAGGCGGCAGGGGCAGAACAGAGCGACAAAGGCTGTGTGGCCTGCAAAGCCGGAAATACTCACTCTTTGCTCCTTTACAGGACTCGCACGCTGACCTCTGCAGCGGAGAGAAGTGGTCTCTGTCCCACGGGGTCACTTTCAGTGGGGGCTAAAGGAGTTCGAGCGAGCGGGAGAGGACATCGGACTCATTTAAGGCACGTGCGCTTAAGTTCAGGTGGGTTAAAGACAGGACAGAAGAAAATAGAAAAAGGCAAAAAAAACTAGGCGGTGTCTCTAAGTGAGGACTTTAATGAACTGGAGAGTATCAGTGATATACATGAAAGCATGAGATACATGAAATTATCATTTTGGATCAACAGAAAATCTTTCATGTTGGCAACAGCACACACCTTGCTGACTTCAAGTGGCCAACGTGTTACATCCAGCGCTGAGATGGGCCCCCTGGGACTTTGGTGACATGCTGATTTCTCAGTATAAGAGAAATTTCCCTGAGAAGATGCACAGGAGAGATTCAGTGAATCCAAAAGGAAGGGGGTGATGGCTGGGTACGTGGCGCCCCGGGCTCAGAACTTGAGCGGGATGACCGGCCAGTACTTGGGCTGCTTCCTGTCACAGTGCTTGTCGAAGCTCAGCTGCACGGCGGCCTCCATGGCCTGGATCTTCGCGGCGCTGTCCCCATACAAGCGCTTCATCTCGGCCTGGCGCCGCTCGCCGGGCCTCTCGGAGGGGGGGTGCACCGAGCGGTGGGTGCTGTAGTACAGGTCATGGTCGGCGTTCACGTAGTCGTCCAGGCGCTGGGCGTCCAGCTGCTGCTGCCGCCCTGAGAACGAACCGACACGGCGGTGAGCGCAGGCTGTGGCTGCCGGTTGTGTGGCCAGGTGGCGGCGGCCGCCCAGATACCCGCACACCACTGCCCGCATGCCTAGGAAATGCACCATTTGCTCATCCGGGAGGCGACCCTGCTAGAAACATGTTACCCAGCACCGTCGAACCTGCACACTGAGCCCCGAATACAGCTCTCCCTCTTCCACCTGCGCGGCTTGGCCGCCCACAAGCCGCGCCTCTGGAAGGGCTGGCGCAGCTTGCCTCGATTCACACACTGTGCCAGGCCAGCAGGGAAACGAAACGCTTCCTGCAAAGTCCAGGGTTGCAAGAAGTAGTAGTTCAGCCCACAAATGAGGTGCTGGGAGAAAAAGTCAGCCCTGCGTTCGAGGTACTGATTTTAGGTGATCTGGAACAGAGCAAGTGCGGGTACCAGGGAATCGCAGTGATGATCCCTGATCCTTCTACACGGAGGCACGGAGCACGCGAGGAAATGGAGTCAGATAATAGGACACTTGCCCAAGCAGACAGGGCCGAGCCAGGCTAATTCTGCCAATGGAAGGAAGAGCTTCACAGCTCAGCATAGGCTAAATTTCAAGTGACAGAGCCATGTGATTTTAATCCTACTGATATAAATGGATTCTTGTAAAGCAAGAAATCCAGTGTATTCTCCCCTGTACACGTTTTCCTAAAACAAGTCCCAGTATCAGAACTTCTATTCTTATGTATACAGAAACAACATATCCCTGCATAAGGTAAAATTTAGCCAGCTGATAGATTTGTGTAGGCCACTCTGTCGGGACCAGAGAGACGGGAGAGTAGAATGCACACGATGCACCCATCTGTAGGTACTGCTGCTACCGAGGAAGGAGTGAAGATGGTTACAGGGGATAAAACAATGACATAAACCACGCATTCCTAAAGCGACCAGCAAGGTATGCCTGTGGCGAGGCAGCCATGCTCCTAAGTCTGTTATTCGCACGTTTCCCCTTGGAGTTGGAGGGAAGGAGCTTTGGACACCCAGGAACATGAAAAACGTGGGTGGCCACTTCTCAGCACATCCGTAGCTTCTCTCTAACCGCAGGAGGTCACCTACAGATAGGCCAAGTGACCACCAAGCAGGTAAGCGCGATGTAACTGTTCCCTTCCCCGCAAACGAGAGACGTGGCTGACCTGCCGAGGAATGCAAAACTGAACCGAAACACGGGCGTAACGTGCAAACGAATGGGAGGTCAGTAACCACGTGTTTCTCGGTTTTGGTCGTCTTGCCAGTCTGAAACCTTAGGATGTGAGCTGTCCTGTCCCACGGGTGTTTACACTGTATACCCCCACCCTCCAAAGATCACTCCTCTGAAAGTGGGACATTTCCACATTAGCCAGGGACAGCTGTTCCCTCTGCCACCTATGGGAGCCCTGTGCTGTTACCAGCCCTTGGACCCGTTTCCTCCTGGGCCAGGAGGAAACAATCCCGTGGTGGAGGGTGGGGAGAGGCCTGCGGTGGGGCCCCAGGGCCTGTGCATCTAGAGGACAGAGGTTCCCAGACTGCAGTCCTTTTACTTTCACATTTGTCCCAAGACTATAATCAGCCTCACCGACAGATCTAGTGACACAGCAGATGTTCAACTTCCTGTGTGAGTCTGAGGCTTCACATTTCCAAGTCTGAATAAACACCGGATCCACACTATCTTACCAAGTGTTGCTCTCTGCCGCCAGGATACGTGAATTTAACCTTCTTCCTTTCGCATCTTTCTTTTTCTTTTCCTGATAATTTACCATGGTTCTGCTACTCTTCTGACCAAAACTATCTTACAGGTAGGAAATCAGTGTAACAATTCTACATCGAGATGCTTTCTGACGGCTGACATCTGTCGATGAAGCACTGTTAAAAGGAGCCAAGCGCAGCCGCCAGTCCACGTAGCCAGTGTAGCTTTCCAAGTTCACACTTGGCATGTGCTCATGGGGTACCATCACAGGGTTTCAGCTTATGAAGCTCATTCCGTGTAAGAATAACAGAATAAAAGACACAACCCTCTGTTCTCAATTCTTTTCTTGTATCTCCTTCCTATTCGGGTCTCCTTATGAAAATTTAAGACTCAACCCTTGTCCTCTCCCAGCCTTGAAAGAAGCTTGCGGCTTTCCTGGTTTCCAGCATGGTGGGCAAGTGCCCTAAAACACAGACCTAAAGGGCAGGGAGCCTGTCCCCTGCACTGACCGGCTAGTGCTAAAACCCGCCTGTGGAAGTCATGCACGGGAAAAAGGCACTGTCACCTTCACCAGCCCCCGACGTCCCCAGGCCGAGGAGGACACAATGCCTGACACTAAGCAGGTGCTCAGGAAATGACTGTTGAGAGAAAGTCTGGACAGAGGCCACACATTCTTGTTTGTAAACGGCTGTTTCTTGCAGATGCTGTTAAAGAAGAATGATGACAACTCAGGGATAGAGAAACAGATCGTCAAATCTCAAGAGGCGCTGGGCAGAGCCCCCTCCAGAGGGTTCCTCAGAAGCCTCCACGGCAGAGAGGCTGAGGGAGATGGGGGCGCCAGTGAGATGGGGTCTGATCTCGTTCCTTTACTTCTGAGTCACCGTGCCTCTACTGACTTAAACAATTATTAAAAAAAAGTCCTATGGCTAGACTACAAATTTGAAAAGCGGTCCACTTAAAACCAAATGTGCTCAGACGGGCTGCACATGGGAAGCTGCCGCTAGCTTCTGGAAGTACTTCAGCTTATACCGACTTAGGGGACCAAGCAAACTTCAGAACACAATATACTCGTTCGAAGGCATCACTTATTCTGTTTTCTATTTATTGTTCCTTCCTCCCAATGAAGGAAAGGCTTCTCCATCACTAGCAGTTCTCCTTCCTGTCAAAACAAGGTGAGGGCTCAACCAGATGGGAATCCTCTGACTGAAGCAGAGAAGGAGAAGATCACACTTCAGACAGAACAGGTGCCGTGTCACGGAGCAGCTGATCATTCTTTACTGAAAACAGCTGTGGGATCAATGTTCCCCAGTGCTTTTTCTCCTATAGGCTATTCTAATAAAAATTGGAATGGGGGCGCCTGGGTGGCTCAGTGGGTTAAGCCGCTGCCTTCAGCTCGGGTCATGATCCCAGGTCCTGGGTTCGAGCCCCACATCGGGCTTTCTGCTCAGCAGGGAGCCTGCTTCCTCCTCTCTCTCTGCCTGCCTCTCTGCTTACTTGTGATTTCTCTCTGTCAAATAAATAAAATCTTTAAAAAAAAATTGGAATGTATTATTAGATTTCAGGTTTAATGCAGGGCTGGAGTGAGTTGAATAGTGTCCCCCCCACATTCACATCTACATGGAACCTCAGAATTGACCTTTTTTTTTTTAAAGAAACAAGGTCTTTGTAGCTGTAATTGAGGATCAAGATGGGATCATACTGGATGAGTGTGGACCCCAAACCCAATGAGCGTGTCCTTATGAGAGACAGAAAAGGACACACAGAGACACAGGGGGGAAAACCAGGTAACCAAAGAGGCAGGACTGGAACTATGTCCCCACAGACCAGTGAACACCAGAAGCCACTAGAGGCTGGGAGGAGGCAAAGTCCCAGAACCTTTGGAGGGAGTGGGTTCTGCTGACACCTTGATTTCAGACTTCTGGCTTCCAGAACTGAGAATATATTTCTGTTGTTTTGAGCCCATTTATGCTCATTTGATACTGCAGCCCTAGGAAACTAATATAAAGGTTAATATGCATATAGGGTTAAAACAAGAAAACAGTAACATCCTATTAAGGACAAACGCTACTGAATCCTGTCTGGGTTCAGGATATATAACCTTGCTATCTTCCCCCTCAATCTACCAATTTACATGACGCTACTACCAATGTGGACTTACAGTTAACAAAGGAAAACAAAATCACGAGGAGTGACTTAGATTTTAGAGGACCTGACTTAGCGGGAAAACATTCATTCAGTATTCCACAGATAATCAGCCCAAAGGCAGAACATTCTGGAAGACAAAGCACTAAGATAAGTGAGTTTCAATGTTATTTTTCTAGGATCAGCATGTCTGACTGTATTCTCTGCTATGTTGCCAGAATTAATGATTTTAGCACAACCGAGCACAAGCACAGGCTTGATTTATGTCACAAGTGACTCGCTTCTGGCTTGTCACTCCTGGCTTGTCAGCGACACACCCGGAACACAGGTGCTTGCCAGCAGACCTGGAGCTGTTTCTGCTGGGCCTTCGTCCTCACCTCCCATCCGTCTCCCCCTGACAAATGAAGTCAGTGGATAATTACTGTTTTCGGAATAAGAGCGCACTTCCATCCTGCCCTTCCACTTTTCTTCAGCCTTTTATATGCATCTTCACTCCGACTGGTTTTCCGTACCTCGAGCATCGGGACTGGATGGGACATGGCGCGGTGGAACTGTGTTCGGTCAGGAGGACGGCACAGTGGTTCACTCAATACCGTGCCGTTCACTATATCCTCGATGTTTTCCCCAGAGGGTGGACTGAGGGTGAACTGGCTGGGGTTCCAGCGGACTGATGGAAGGTTTGGTAATGAAAAGTGGTCTAAACCTTCCAACTCTCCCAGCTAATGTCTAAAAGCACTGCTGGGCCCTGTGGTAAGAACAGCACGTTGAGTGCTAAGTGGGGAGTGGACTTACCCCCTTTCTTTCTCTCTTGATCCCAACGGACCCCATCCCTCAAGCCTAGAGCATACTCCATTTTCCACCACTACCCCGTGAAATTTCTCTCATGGCTGAGTTCACGGACTCCACTCGTCACTGCAAAGGTACACACGGACCAGGCCACAGATGGCTCTTCTAGCTATCAGGTTTTTTTTGTTTGTTTGTTTGTTTTAAGATTTTATTTATTTGAAACAGAGAGAGCACAAGCGGGGGGAATAGCAGAGGGAGAGGGAGAAGCAGGCTTCCCGCCGAGCAGGGAGCCCAATGTGGGGCTCGATCCCAGGACCCTGGGATCATGACCTGAGCCAAAGGCAGATGCTTAACCATCTGAGCCACCCTGGTGCCCCTAGGTATCAGTTTTAACTTGATTTTGTCTCCTCTTCCCAACTGGATTTAAGCTCTTTGTGAATATGTCTCTGTTTTGACCTAACGGTTACCCCCAAAACACAGAGGATAATATCTGATTGGCTCAAGCCTGAGACAACGGTGGTGGTGTTTGTTCCAGAGGCTTTCTGCACTGGGAATGATAACTTTCACTTGTCTCCCTTCTAAGTATTAGGACCATATCCTTGCAGTCTCTACTGATGGTTATTTATGACTAAAACATGGTACTTTTCTTAACAATAAACATTTTTCCTAAGAAATAATTGAAAACATAGCTGACCTTTAAAACTCCAGAACTGTCTACTTTCCCATAAGTAATGTTACCAGTGAAGTTCTGAATAACGGAAGTATCTCATTAGGAAATGACATATAATCAAAAGCATGTCTGTTCCCACCACACAGAAGGAGTTCTTTATTTTCCTACTTAGTTTTTTTTTTTTTAATCGCTAAAATATGTTAGAGATTATCTGGAAGAGCAGTAATCATAAACAGGAACATGCTGTCCAGTATGAAGGATTTTATTCTAAGAAAATATTAAATAAGACTCTGATGATGATGAATTATGTAACATATAGACTCCTGTGGAAGTAATACCGAAAAATAGAATTAAATTTAGCCATGTTTTTCCCTGCTAGTGATACATTTCATAAAATTCTATGTTCTCTAGATGATCTCTATTCAAAGCTGAATTTGCCTTTATTGAATAAGTAGCTTCTAGTGGTTCAAAGAGCAAAACAAAACAACTTTCAACTAAGTATTCACACTACTCAGGTCCCTAATCACTCCTAAAATATATCCCAACTGTGTACATAGCGCAACTTCTACGAACACTTCTAGTGAAGTAATGGGTCGGAAAGCACCTCGGACATTCACAGTGCTTACATCTGAGTTCCATCCCTCAGCATTGCTCGAAGGAACAGTACGGGGCAGTATTCATCCTATATGCCACCGAAAGCGCTGGTGAAAAAAATAATGCCCATTGTTTTTGGTGGTACAGGGTCAGGCCCCAGGAGCTTCTAAGTCTTTACTAGTCGGATCAGACTCTGACCCCACAGCATGTTCTCGCCCTTGCCAGACCATCTCCTCTTCTCCCAAAGACCTGGTAATATTTCCAGGGCAGACCGCAGGACACAAAAGCATTGTGGAGACCCTAAGACAAGCAGTTTTCAATTATGCTACAACTACACATTTACAATGCACGAAGAAGCAGAAGCTCGGTGCGTTTAGTGCTGTTATTAGTAATATGGAAGTGGGTTTTTCCATGCATTTTCCTATATTGTTACATCAGGCAAGAATGTCCTTGAAATGGACTAAAAGTTGTGTTAATGACTACTTTGATGAAACTATGTTAATGACTAAATAGGATCGACACCAAAACTTTAATTCTTTTCCTTTTTAAAGACTCTAAGTCAATTTAAGAATTTAGAAAGTGCAGAGCAGAAATGACTTTGTTTTGAAGCCACAGAGCATCTTTACTAAAAATATGCAAACTCTCGGGGCGCCTGGGTGGCTCAGTGGGTTAAGGCCTCTGCCTTCGGCTCAGGTCATGATTCCAGGGTCCTGGGATCAAGCCCCGCATCTGGCTGTCTGCTCAGCAGGGAGCCTGCTTCCCTTCCTCTCTCTCTGCCTGCCTCTCTGCCTACTTGTGATCTATGTCTGTCAATAAATAAATAAAATCTTTAAAAAAAAAATACGCAAACTCTCAGTCAAGCGCTAATTAACACAGCATCGGAGTAAAATCCGTATTTGGTTAATGACACACACTAAAGGATGAGTTATCAGCAACTAACCCTAACTAACATTTCTTGGGCACTGACTTCGTGCCAAGCATGGTTCTCTCACTTATCGTTTTTTATCTCACTGAATCTTCATAATTACCACTCTACTGATTAGGATCCCCTTTCACAGGTCAGGTGACTGAGGCACAGTCTGACCAGGATAGGTGACCCACAAGCTAAGTGCCTCTAGCTGATGAGTGGCGGGGGCGGGTGGGACTCTAACGTGAGCGCTTCCGCCACAGCTCGCTCAGTATACTGTTATTAATAATAACGTATACGTGGAAGAATGAGGTTGAAGATGAAGGCTGTACGGGTTTTCACAAAATTCCCTTTTTTATTGGTTGCTGTCTACATCACGGTAAAACAAGTAAGTAACAGTTTCTCCAAAGGGATGGGAAGACCTGTGTAGTTCACTTCATGTCCCACTCGCAGACTGCATGTTGGGACAAAGAAAATTCTCACAGGAGGATTGCATTAGTTTCCTAGGGCTGCTGTAACAAAGCACCACAAACTGGGTGGCTTAGCATAACAGAAATTTCTCATCTCACAGGTGTGGAGGCCAGAAGTCTGAGGTCAAGCCATGGGCAGCAGGGCCATGCCCCTTCTGAAGCCGCTAGGGAAGATCTGGTCCAGGCCTCTCTGTTAGCTTCCAGCGGCAGAACTCCAGGCTTCCTGTGGCCTTCTCCCTGGGTGCATGTCTACCTCTGCGTGCACATGTTTCCTTTTCGAAGGGCACTAGTTGTACTGGATCAGGGCCCACCCTAAAGATCTCATGTTAACTTGGTTACCTCCATAGAGACTCTATTTCCACATGAGGGCACATCCTGAGGCTGGAGTGGGGGAAGGTTAGGACTCCAACAGATCTTTCTTTTAGGGAACAAAATTCAACCCACCACAGTGATGACAACAGTGCAATCTGGAGCCTTGAGGTCAACTCAGCGGATATGGGAATAATATAAAACCAAATACAAAGTTCATCAAAGCCTAACTCACTTTGTAAAATGTCCTGCACAAGCACAGCTAGCTTAGCACTTTATGGGATACTTGAAAACCCTGATTTAAGGCTCATAATTAATACCAAAATCATTCACTCATTCAAAACCAGTATTAAGTGTCAGGCACAACTTAGCAGGTAATTTTTAGGACTTTTTTTTTTTTTTTAAACTTACCTAGAATTCTACCCGACCAAGGCAAGAGGAAGAACGGTTCTTAGCCATATCTGTAACTGAACTGCTGACGTCAGAAAGACACATTTCGTTACTTTATTTTCATTATCATCACATCTATTTTTTATTGAATAACTATGTATCAAGTTTATTTTAAATGAGCAGATAATTCAAAATGGCTTTTTGGATGATTGGGGTTTGCTTCCGTCCCTAATTAGAACTGCTATCATATGCATATCAATCTGTGGAGGGAAACATGTTATTTTACCCTCTAGTAAGGACAAAAGAAAGAAACCCCACATCCATCATATTTTTTCCAAAGCTATAAAAAAACAGCATTCCAGCCGAACGTGGACATGCTGGAACACCTCCTCTCCTTCATCGCTGTATACTTTTCAGACACTAAAAGGCACGATACCTCATACAAAGTCCACCTCTCAGTTCCTGGCACCCTGCGGGGATCGATCAGCCCATCATCAGGAAAACACAGATCAATCAAAGATGGAACCCCATCTTGGCCATTCCCAGACTTCCATGTTTCTGTTTATCTTGTTTCTTTCTATTTATTAAAAACATTCTAAGTAAAGTATCATATAATTAGAACTCAATAAAAACAATACTGAGACTAGATACTGGTTATAAGGAGAAAAGCACTTGTGTATCTGTTTGAGACACTTCAAATGTAAACAGTCTGGTGAATTTTCATAGTTCTAGTTCTTTGTAGGAACTTGGTAAGAAATTATTAAAAAAAAAAAAAAAAAGGAAATTCCTGCTTTGCCATGGAAGAGGGAAAAGCATTATCATGTTTCTATAACCTTAACAGCAGACTGCTTCGATGCGGGATCGGACCAGAAAGGTTTGAGTCCCAGACATTTTGTGGCTGTTTAGGTTCACACCGACCTCTGCTCTGATGCCGCTTAAAAACTAAGGCCTGGTAGCTCGCTAGCAAGGGAAGTCTCAGAGCTGTGTAGGGGTGAGGTGACAGCAGTATTTTAAAAAAACCTAGCAGGCTCAGGGACAAAACCTAATCCCTAAGTTTGTGCTAGAGGAAGCAGCACAGGAACTGGGAGTCAGACAGACCTCGATTTGAACCCCAATAGCTCGTTACTAGCTGTGTACCATGGAGTAAGTCAACGGACCTTCTGAAAGGTCACTTGCTTCATTTGTGAAATGGGTGGCACGGCCCTGAGGGGCTGGGGGTAGATAAGGGAACACAGGCACACCCCCGTGCACACCCCCCGATTTGCGGTCTGCTACTCAGTAGACGGCAGAGGTACCACTGGGACAAGTCTTGTTCTAGAGCTAAAAAAAAGTCCTGTCTGAAAATACCTCTGGAAGCTGACAGAGCTGAGGTGGGACTGGATGTGGTTTGGTAGGAAGTTACAAAACAACTCGAGGGAAGAAGGCAGTGCGAGAGGCAGGGTGAGGAAAGGAAGCGCGCAGGGGGGGTGCACACTTACGTCGCTCTTCCCGGTGAGCCTCGGTCTGGGCGAAGTACTGGCGCAGCTCCTCTGTGATCTCCATGTTGCTCAGGTCGCACTCCACACCCCCGTCTGACTCGGACTCCGCCGCCTCCTCCTCCTCCTCGGCAGGCCAAGCTTGGTGTTCTCTGGGGCGGGCTGCTGGATGCTGCCCGGACCTTCTAGAAGGTGAAGAAACGCAGTGCGAGTCCGTGGAGGCCGGGTGATGGTCACGAGAGGGCTGAGGCTTGGCCTTGTTCGTGGGAGGGCTCTGGGGAAGAGCTGCAGGAGGGAAGGCCCACGGGTAACTGCAGTAAGATTCCACCGCCTTCCTGTAGGCGCTGTGGTGGCTCCGCATCCAGGCCATGGCCTGGTGATAATGGCGCCAGTACCTTGCATAGACTGGATGAAAAGACCAAGGCTCAGCGGCTTTCCAGGACGCCACCTATAGAATAAAGGGAGGTGGAAGCCAGATGCCACACAGTCCTTCCTCAAGAGAACCCTCAAGTACTGAATTGGCTAAACAACACGTTTTCTATGGAGTATCTAGTAAATACTGACTCTACGTCAGGATGCTACCACTGGGCCAAAGAGGACGCAGGACAAGTCCATGCCCACAACGGACACGACGTGCATGTGCATGACGTACGCACAGGACTCAGTTTAACGTTATGGCCACAATAAAATGGGGACAGAGGCTAATGATTATCATTTTTAGGTAAGATGCACGGAGAGATATGGACATCAACCACCTTGGGCCTCTCTACCCACTGGAACCTAGCGCCTAGTTCCAAGAACCACATGGACTAATGTTCTCTGGTCCCTCCCTCACTACCCCCCTAACATCTGCGGGTCTGGGCCACTCTCAGTAGCTGGACAACAGCTGTCTAGCAACCTGATTGCTAGCAACCCACTGGTGCTTTTACTTTTCCCTTCTGGATGTATTTGTTTCTTTGGTCTTCTCCGTCATGGGATGAGAATACCAAGACCCTAATGGCTAAAATTTACCCTTTGCTCATGAGTTAATAAAAAAAACCAAAACTTTAAAAACAACAACAACAACAACAACAACTTACCTTTGCTGTCATCTCTGGTTGTGGAAGTCCAAGTGGGCGCTGAAACTAGGAAAGAACAAGCACAGTGCAAACATCTGGTCGGTGCACGTGGGGGACACTTGTGGCTACTTCAGGGTTTACAGAGCAGCCCCTCAGAGGCTGGCTCTTCTGAACACCACACCTGGTCTTCACCCAACATACGCTACAGGGCCCTGGCACCTGGGAGGGGTCCCCTTAGGTATGATTAAGTGGCTCAAAGGACACTGCATTTTTCAAGTATTTGTTTACCTATTGGAAGTAAAGACTGGAAAGCACCATACAGTTAGTGGCTAGGACCGGTATTAAAAATATTAATACAGAACAGGAACTAATAATATATGACTCTTCGTGCCTAAGCACTCTGCATCATTGCAGGAGAAACTGTTCCCCGGAGACTCTCCACCAATCGCCTGCATAGAACGCCTTTGCTCAGCAGCCCTGCTCGGCCAGGATTTACTCCTTTCGCCCCTGCCTACCTGCTTGTGATATACTGGCGTGGCAGAAGATACCTAAAGGTAAGGTTTAATCTGCAGCGATATCTTCTGTGAGCTACTTAAAACAATTTTTTCTCCTTCCTGCTCAGGAGTTCAGAGCTACTCAAATGCCACGGCATGTCAGGATACACTTAAAAAAAGAAAGTTAAAACATCCTGGGGCATCTGGCTGGCTCATTCTGTAGAGCATGCAACTCCTGACCTCAGGGTCATGCATTCAAACTCCACACTGAGTGCAGGGATAACTTAAAAAAGTTAAAATTAAAAAAAAAAAAAAAAAAAAAAAAAAGCAGTATCCTAAAATGCACGAGAACGGAAGCATCCGTGAGATGAAACCACTAACACAATGTGGTGCTGAGCCAACAGCTACTTGGATGTTGACACTCTGGGAAATCAGATACAGAAGGAGGCCTGTTTTTTCCTCCTTCACTTCACGAGAGGGCAGAATTTAAAAATCTCTAAGCCTTAAGAAATAAACTTGACTTATTTTGTAATCTCTATCAGATGTTCTGCTATGGTTAATGTGGAAAACTGCGCTGTTAAATTGACCACATCTTTTAAGATTTAGCCTGAAGAGAACCATTCACTTTCTTTTTAAATACAATAGGCTTTCCAACAGGCTATTTCTAAGAGGGCTGACCTGATCTTCTGTAAATATATCTTAAACACAGCCCGCACTTCTTATTCCCTGTTCTAAATTCAAGAATACACACACGCAGTGAGTGTGAACTGGAAAAAAGCGAATCCACGCAGTGAAAATGTAAGTGTAAATTAAGTTCGCAATACTTACAAAACTACAATTTAAAGGTTTAAAACGTGAGCCATTATCTGAAAACCTGGCTACCTGCCTATGTGCTTTACAAGCTACTGAGGAAAAACAAAAGTCAATACAATTAAGGGGTTAACCACCCAGAGAAGTAGCGCTGCACAAACGAAATTACGGTAGACGTCAGTACCACTGCACCACTTACAGGTGCGGCCGGCAAGCGGCTAATTCATTCCGGGCCGGTTTCATATCTGTATCACCGAAATCTAAGCATTTTTTCTAAGAGCCTGCAGCACATAATGCCATTAAAGTGAACTTTAATGTGTGTCTTGATCAAATTTGTTTTAGAGATTAACAAGTAGCACAGGAATTGAATTTGAAAAGTCTACAGGGCATCTGTGTGTCTTCTGGAAATTCAGTTTTGAATCCAGACTTCAATGCCTCGTAAAACGTACTTAGAACCAGATCAATGTAAATATTAATTATCCCGAACTGGGAAGGTCTGGCTTCAGCCTCAAAGATGCCATAAACTTTATCGTCACCGAACACTACTGCAGACCTTGGGAAATCCTGCTCTTATTTATAACTGGGAAAATCCAGCCTGGCTTTAAAAGTCTTTGTACCAGTATTCTGAAAATGTGCAAGATGGCTTAGGAGAGGTTGCACTTTGCAGAGCTGGAAGTGTAGGCACGTGCCATCAAGTAGGCGACTGTTTAAGAGGCTCTGGTGTAATTCATCACGTTCACCAGGCTGCTCAAATGTCAATGGCTGTGATTAAAAGGGGGCACGGAGAGCTAATTTGAGGAGAGGCTACTTATTTATGCCTTTGATTTGACAAATAACTTGCTAAAAGAGCCACCATGTTACACGGTCTCAGAGATCACACAAGGCGTGCCCTGACTGCTTCTGCGAGAAGGAAGCCGGTTCCAGGGTTTGGAGCACAAGCAGCTCGGATTCAGCCTGGTGTGCCAGTGACCTATGAAGCAGACCACCTAGTCAGCTAAGGCACTGGACGCTTTCAAGACCCAGGCTGTTAAAGAAAGCTGAGTTTATCTTAATGATGGAATACAGGCATCTCTGACATCGATTTTATTCTGATAGTGCTTCCCGTTTCGGCCGCTGGGACACTTCTGAGCAAATCCGCCACCAGCCTCCGGCAAGTTAAGAGCCCGGGAGCTATGTGTCGCATATGCTCATTTACCCCTGGCTCTATTATTCCCCCTCCCCAAATTCCAAAACCTGTCTATCATAGAGTTTTACACTGTAAGTATTTTAAGATTCCTAAAATCCTACAGATATTCAGTTGAAAGTAGTTCCTGAGAATGAACGACAAATTAAGCAAATTCTCAGAAAGGAAATGAAAGAAGGTCTAGAAAAATATGTCTAAAGGAGTAGCGGTTTGCATGCAGCTTTATAATTCTTGGTTTGCTTTTTCCAGCATTACTCCTGGTATTTTATACCAGCAAAATTTTTGTGTAAAGGGCCAAATACTAAGTATTTGGGGCCTGTAGGCCACATATAGTCTCTGTCACACACTCTTCATATTCTTTTTTTTTTTTTTAATTTAAAAACAACCCGGGATGCCTGGGTGGCCCACTTGGTTAAATGTCTGCCTTTGGCTCATGTCATGATCTCGGGGACCTGGGATCCAACCCCGCATCAGGCTCCCTGCTCAGTGGGGAGTCTGTTCCTCCCTTACTCTCTGCCCGTCACTCCCCCAGTTCATGCTCTTTCTCTCTCAAATAGATAAAATCTTTACAAATAAATAAATTTAAAAATAAATAAATTCAAAAACAACCCTTTGACAATGGAAATACCATTCTTAGCTCCCAGGTAGGAACAAAAACAAGCTGTGGGCCATCCTTTGCCAGGCCCAGCTTCACGTGAATACTCTCATCGCTGCTCATTCCCCACTTGGCCACCTGTGGAGGAACTTTGTGATTCTCTCTCGTCTCGTACATGATTAGGCTTGGAGTAAGCCTAGTGGAAGCTAGACAACGGTGATGATGACCACCAGGAATCCTGGTGACCAGTTCCTAGTATCTGGGACAAAAGAATCATCTTAATAACTAAATAAGGAAACTGGACCATTTCTTCAACATCTACAGAAATATTTAAAGACTTAATTAAAAAAAACCCACCAAACTCCTGAAATCAACTGGGCTTATAATGCACATGTAGTGCCATGATTTCTGATGGAGACCTTACTAGTTGCCACGGACAGCAACCCCATAAGGACGGGAAGCAGGAGAGAGCTCCCAGACTCTCTTCCCTGGAAGAAAGAATACATATTCCTTCCTGCTAGGTGCATCAGTTAGCTCCCGAGGAAAGGCGATAACCTCCTCTAAGAATGGGTCCTGTTAACTTTTTCAAACCGGCTACTCTTTCTACATGGAGAACTTAAGGACCTTTAAAAAAAAAAAAAAGCCTGGGTTTCTGAAAAGCCAACATGAAACTAATTCTAGACATTAAAGCAACACTTTCTGCCACCAGTTCAAAGAGAAGCAAGTTTATGGTCACAGCAGATTTAGATGCCTTTCAAAGGTCTTTAATTTTATCTTTCATTCGCCACCTCTTTGGGAGTGTCTCTTACTCCTGCGGCACACGTCTTCATGGACTGAACAGCAGCTTTCCTCCTAATGGGATGGTGGAACTGAAAGAAAAGAGAATGGCAATGTCAGGCCAGGCCGGGATCCACAGTACCACCAAACCGGCAGCCCTCCCCAGTGAGCACAATGGCATAATAGTCACTACCCAGCTGAGCCCGGGCGAGCACAGAGACCAAATTCATTATCTGTCCTCAACCACCAGAGGAGGAAGGAAAAAAACAGCGCTGAGGTCATTCATGAAACGCTGCCGAGGCCCGGGGCCCACTGGCAAGATAGTGCCCTGGGTCTTAAACCATGTATTTTCCCATATAGCCTTTTTAAAAAAACACGTGCATTCTTCAATGAATCTGCTTATCCTAGAGATGTATTTTTAAATGCATAAATATACATGAGGAATAACAGACAAGAACTTTGTTGTTTTTAATGGAAAAAATCCAACTATTTCCATCAAGTTATTAAAAAATTCCACAAGTAAGTAATGTGGCTTTGTTGAAAGGTAGTGACAGTGTACATATTCTTTTTACTGTATATTTCTATTCCTACAAATATAGGATCTAGGATGTGTCATTGCAACCAATAAATAAAATAAAAACAGAAATTCCCCTCAGATAATAATGTGTACTCTGCAACTGCATTTTCCTCTCTATCCTCCTTTTCCAGTAGAATTCTGAAAATTAAATACGTGAAAACTCACCTGCTTTGATTTTTTTGCATAGGAACAAACTGGAAGTCAGTCATTAAGTTATGCTGGCTAAAGTCCCTAAGGTCAAACCTTTCCAGTAAGGCTCCCAGCGATCTGGTTCTCTGAACCAAACATGTAATTTCGAGGATCTAATGTAGGCCTTCGGTGTATGTTTCAGGGTAGAAGGGGGTCTGCTGGAAATTGCTCAAAATAAATGAAGGTACAATGAGAAATGGAAATTACATGAACTGAGTCATTTGTGGTTCTAAGGCATTTCTGTATTTGTAGTAATAACCCTATCAGAGAAGACGTCTTCCAAGAATGCATACATCAGTAGTAACTTCCTCAACTAAGATAATAAAAAAGTTTTCTGACAGCATTGCTTCCTGCCACCCCCAGTGGTCTGCCGGCAGTTTCAACTAGCCTGATGCCCTCAGGGACTCCCTCCTGCAGCTCAGAATGGTCCCTGCCGGGTAGTGTGGACAACAAAGATGGCTCGAGACTGAATGTCTTCCCACCCTCAGGAGTCCAGGCTCTGTCTTATGGCCAGACACGAGCCTCCCACAAGGGCACATAATATCCAGTTCAGAGAGCCTACACCTGTCTATAACAACCACTGTTAAAACTGATGGGCGAGGGAGCCAAAAAAGTTTTATTTCCTTTTCATTCCTTCAACCCCAAACCCCCAATTTACTCTCTTCCGGATGTCGCAGTTAGAAGTAATGTCACAAAGGAAGGCCCAGCATGGGGAAAGAGAAAGACTGAAAGGATGTAAAGTGTTCTTTAAAAAAAAAAAAAAAAAAATACAAATAACCTTCCACCCACAGAACGTTGTTGTTTGTCAGCAGGGTGATGGATTTGTGAGCAGATCTATTTGCAAGTTCACCAAATCCCCAGGTGGCTAATGTCAAGATCTTAAGTGAAATGTGAGGCCACTCAAAGACAAAGTGACCCTCTGATCATGAACACAACAGGCAACGGAAGAGGTGAAAACTGGGATAACCAAGGGCATACTAGCAATACAACTCAAAAGAGGAAACGGGTAAGTTCACTTCACTCCAAGTGTATCCCTCACAAAGCAAAAGCTGGTGTGACTGTAAAGGACTAAGGGTTGAACAGGCAGGTCATGCAAGTTCAGAGCCTATCAGCAAAAGCCATAGCTCGTTTAAAGTGGTTAAGCCCACCAGCAGATTTCAGAGGTTTTATTTCAAGTTTACTTCTATAAACACATACATGGTAATTCCATTTGATCGCTGTGCTTCCTGAATTGATACAGCACTACGTCCCACTCATTTAATAAATTACTTGTAGGCATTGATTCTGTAATCTATCTCTTTTAAATTTCCCATTTTCCTTCCAGCATAAAAACCACAGCTGTATTTTCTTGCCTTTAGATGCTGCTGAGATTGCGGTTTCCTGATAATAGTCTCTCCTCCTTCTACCCTCCCTAAGTAAACAAAGTAGCTAGTCATTCAAGTAACCCGTAAAGCCACAAATCTTTTCAGGAAGCAGACGTTTAAATACATTAGTAGGGTTTCAAAACTATTTTCAATTCATCTGATCTTTGATCAACCACAGTTATGCTCTTTTTTTCACGTGTCCAACTGTTCTATGGGTGGATTTCCCATTGGAGAGAAGGGGTCCAAGAGTTCTGCACCGAATTTGTAATCTCTCCAGCCTCCACTCTGGCCTTAATTGTTCAATTTTCTCCCATCCTTCTCTTCTCACCCCATCTTTAAATGCTGGATCCTAAAAACCAAAATAATCCTTTACCATCTGTAAAAACAGTTTTAGAATGAAAATTCCTCTCTGGACCTTTAGTTTATATACTTTCCCAGCAATGAACACAGAAGAGATCTGTACACCTTCTGTGAACCTGTCTTCAGTTACACCTATCCCAAGTCACTACCCAACGATCTTTAAAAATATAGGGCAGCTCTTCGCATTGCCATCCCAAAGGGGTCCCTTACAAACTGTATTTATAAGTTGTATTTGTAAATGTTATCTCCACCCCACAATTCATGGAAACTCTGAGAGTAAACGACCCCAGAAGTGTTACTAATCTTTAGCCTAGAGTTTCTAGTAATGTCCTGACTTCTGGTACAAGAACCTACCTAGCCTATGAAACAGCTTTAAAAATCATTCCTGATAAAGATAAAATTGTTCAGAACCATCTGATCTGTACTAAGGAACTCCCAGGATTTCACAGCTAAAAGGTACTTCGTTGGTCCCTAGTTCAACTCCACTTAATTACTGAGGAAGAAAAGTGGGCAAAGACCTTCTCCACCTCCACGGGTAAGGCGCATAAAAGACCACAGTGGCCATACGTTCCCTAGGTAAGTTCCACCAAAATTCTGACCTCCCACAGAGGTCGAAGTGTGAGGGGGGGGGGGGAAAGAAAACCCTAAGTTTTGAGTAGATGGGCCGATATTCCAGACATCCCTCCAAGGATGAGGCTGCCCTGGGCGAAGTTCTGTTCAGATTCCGGGCTGTATGGCCAGAGCCCGAATTCACTTTACAGACTTAGCTTAACACATTGTTACTCAGCACCTCAGAATCACGTGGGGGAGTTTCATCAAAATACCGATGCCTGGGTCCCACTTCTACAGATTCGAATTTAATTGATCTGGGATGGGCCCCCGAGCAACAAAAGCCATCCTCCGATTGCGAAGCACGGCGGCTGAGAGTCTCTGGAACCAGTCCCCCGTCACAATTAACCAGCAATAATTCAGGAATCTCACGGGCCCCGCGAGATGAGGCTAATTACGACAACGTGACAGGCAAGTCCTCGGCTCTCCCGGTATCTGAGGAAGCCAGGCTTCGGTGCCTCCATGTTCCTCCCTCACTCCCCAAAGGAAACCCAGCCGTCCCCGGAGTCACCTCGTGGGCTCGTAGCTCGCGGATCTCGGGCGGTGGGCGAGCAGGGACCTACTTCCTGTAAGGAGACAGAAGGGGCACGGGAGGGAGGGGCTGTTGCCCGGGAGACCAGAAATGCACTTCCGGCGCGGATCACATGACGTGAGCGCCGGAAGTCCGCGCACGGCGCCGCTGACGCCACGTCCGCTCCGCGTTCTGCGCCACGTGGGAGACAGTCGTGGGATGAGGCTCCGCCTTCTGGGGCGGAGCGTCGGGAGGGGCTGGAGGAAGGTGGTGGGCCAAGGGCGTGCGCGCAGCTCCGGGGTCGCGGCGCGGGTCTAGCACCTGTATCTCCGCTGACGCGTGTGGCGCGCCGGGAAGACGACGGTTTTGTCCCTGGGCAAGTTCCTTGACTGTCGACTTTTCGCCCTTGTCTCAGCTCCCTTATCTTCCCCCTCTTGTCTTTAGTTAGCCTTTCCTCTTTTTTTTTTTTTTTTTTTTTTTTTAAACTGGCAAGTCTTGAGGTCCTGGTCCAGGAGAACACGCCCCGGCGTGTTGGAAGTAGCGTTTAGTTTATTAACCTCGGGAGCCTCGGATTCTCGCCCAAAAGATGGGAATAGTCCCTAGGGCACAGTGCCTGGAGCGGTAGAGCAGACCGAAGTTAGTACCTGTTAACGTTATTTGTATCACAGGTATCACAGGTTAGCATCACAGAGGATTCGTTAATAACCAAGCGAAACCCACCGAAGTCTAAGGGCCATATCTCCTCTGGGGTAATTGGGCAAACCGTGGCAAGAGCCCTAAAAAGGGCATACTTTTGTCTGAGAATTTTCACTTCTGGGAACTTATTCCAAGGAAAAACAGATGTTAAACCGGATGTGCACTGCAGAATTTTTTAAAGCGAAAACGAAAACACTTAAGTGCCTAATAAGAGCAAATGGCTAAGTCATTCAGGCTGTACGCACGGCGTGAATATTACCACGTAATCCTATATTACGGAAGAATCAAACAGTATAGAAGATTAACAAATACGTACTGGCTGCCTGCGATTCGACAAAGAATGTAAAATACCTCGTTTTACTAGTGATAATATGTTAGAGAAGGACTGTTTAGGCTAAATAAAATGAGGTTAAAATTACTTTCACCTTTCTCTTTTTACTTTCTTTTTTTTCCTTTTTACTTAAAAAAAAAATTTTTTTTATTTTATTTTTTATAAACATGTAATACATTTTTATCCCCAGGGGTACAGGTCTGTGAATCGCCAGGTTTACACACTTAACAGCACTCACTCTCATTTTACTTTCTTAATGTGATTGCTAGAACATTTGAAATGACGTATGTCCCACGAATCATTGTGTATTCCTATTGGACACTGGTATACTATTTACCAGATATACAGTGGTGAACAAGACAGTTTTTGTCCTCATAAAAGTAACATTTTTTTTGAGTACAGCATGGACAATGACCAGGTAGATAATGTCATTGTATATCTTGGTTATATGTAGAACATAAAGGAAGGTAAGGGCCAGAAAAGGTGTATGGTTTGAGGGCAGTTATATTTTTATTTATTTATTTGACAGAGAGAGACACACCGACAGAGGGAACACAAGCAGGGGGAGGAGGAGAGGGAGAAGCTGGCTTCCCACTGAGCAGGGAGCCCCATGCGATGAGGGGTTCCATCCCAGGACCCTGGGATCATGACCTCAGTCAAAGGCAGACGCTTAACAACCCAGCCACCAAGGCGCCCTGAGGGCTGTTATTTTAGACGACATCCTTCCTCCCCTTTTCAGAAAATAGATGTGGGAAGAATGAGATCTCTTTGGATAGAGTGGAAAGAATGAGATCTCTATGGATAGAATGGGAAGGGGATGGTAGGAGCGTGGGGTCTTCCTTGCAAAGTCAGCTATGGATTGAGACTGATAAATCATTTGTGCCTCTTGGAATCTCTGCCTTATGGAAGAAACCACACCAGGAGAGGAAGGCAAGAGAGAAGAGCGGTAAGATATCAGGGCGAACGAGCTCAAGGGGCCGCTTGGAAACACAGAACAAAGCAGGCTTGCTGGGGGTACATTTCAGGTAGAGAGGTTACTGGAGCAATACCAGTATGTATGCTGTAGTACCGTGGGTGGCTGTAAATATAAATAATGAGAATACTCTGGTATTAAATAGCATATTACTTTGCTTGCTGTCAAAGAGATTCAGAATGTTGGATTTTTCTCTTGTGTTGGAGCGCCATCTGGTGGAAATTCACGAATCCTACAGTTCTTCACCCTCTTTTGTGCTGTAGCGCCGCCTGGTGGAAATTTATAAATCCTACCGTTCTTCGCCAGCTTGCTTGGAATGGGCTTTCTCTCTTGTCGGGTGTAAACCTCAAATTATAAATAACCCTTAAGTGGATTTTGGCCAAACTTGAAGGGTCCTCCTCTTTAAGACGAGGAACTCTTTAAAGTAGGGTTTTTCAGCTCCAGCACTATTGACGTTCGGGGCCAGATAATTCTTCACTGTGGGCGCCGTCCTGTTCACCAGAGGATGTCGAGGCCAGCAGTACCCCCCTCCCCCACCCCGCCATCCCTACCCTCTCCGCTGGTGACAACCCCAAATTACCACATGTCCCTTAGGGGCCACATCGCTCCCCGCTGAGGACTGTTGCTTTTTTACAGAGTACTTAAGAGTCCACAGTCTATTAAGGCCACCTGCCCCCGGGACTGGGCGGGGCACGTCGGGGAGAAACAGGAGGACAGTACCGGGCACCTGGAGATGAGACTCACTGAGGGCCCGAAGGCTCGGGAAGCGGATGTGAAATTTCTTTAAATCCCCCAGGGCAAGGGAATCTATAGAGGTCATTGCCTAAAGCATTAAGGCGCACGGAATAGGCTCAGACTGTGGTACTGGGGGGGCCCAAAGTCCTGCTCAGGGGTGAACAGGTGTGGATGATCGTGCTAGGTATGCGAAGCCATAGTTCATCTCTTGGGGGCTTTCTGGCTCTCCCCACGCCTGGTCCCTCTCTGCGGCCTGAGTGCTGTCAAGAAGCTGGTTAGGAGCCACTCCCCTTGCCTCGGTCAAGGGAGTGGAGCTAAAGGAGCAAAGGGTCAAGAAAGAATTCTTGGCAAAAAAAAAAAAAAAAAAAAAAAAAAAAAGTCGTTTTATTAAAGTCCAGGGGCAGGACCTGTGGGCAGAAAGCTGCAGGGAGACTGTGGGGAGTGACTGATTACACACGCTCAAGCTGGGAGGGGGTTAGGGAGAGTGTCAGTCTGTAAGGAATTTGGGAGCAAGGTTTTCAGGACCGTGAGGGGGCTAGGCTGCTGTTAAGATAAGGTCATTAAGGTCATTTAGGACTGTCTGGTAAGACCTTAGTCACAAGACCCTTCAGATGCATATCCGTGGGCCACAGGTTGGGAGGATGATCGCTAACACATATCTTGGGGTACTGGGCTGGGTAGCGATAAAGGAAGTTTCCAAAGGGATTTTTACAGCCTGGAGGTCGGGCTAATGTCAAGCTTGCCTTTAATGTCAAGGTTGCCTTTTGCCTCTAGCAAGGTATTCACAGCGAGGCAGTTGAGTTCCTGCAGGAAGGTCACTCTGCCTGTCTCCAGTACTTGTCAATGGGCTGCAAGTTGGAAGGACATTTAATTTTTTCTACATTTCTTTTGCCTTTGTTCTGCGCATCAAGTTTCCCAGGAGGGTTGCCTAGTGGCAGCCTCTGCCCCCTCCCCCAGGGCCTCTCCTACACTTTTCCGCCCGCTCTCACCTTCTTGTCATCTTTGCCCCACCTTCCTGTCCCTCTGTCTCCACAGAGGACCTCACTCCCGACAAAAATGAAACTGCCACGGGATTTGATGCTCTTGGCCATATCCTCTTTATTATTATTATTATTTTTTTTTGCCATCACCACATTCTCCCTCCCCAAACAGCGACGTAATATGTGCTCAGTGCACAGAACGAAACACAAGAAGAAAACCACCAACCTTGAAAGACACATGTACCTAAGCACGAAGGAGAACAAGAAGAATTCCTCCCAGCACTGTGACTTTAAAAGAACCATTCTTGGGGCGCCTGGGTGGCTCAGTGGGTTAAAGCCTCTGCCTTCGGCTCGGGTCATGATCCCAGGGTCCTGGGATCGAGCCCCACATCGGGCTCTGCTCAGCAGGAAGCCTGCTTCCCCTCCTCTCTCTCTGCCTGCCTCTCTATTTGTGAGCTCTCTCTCTCTCTGTCAAATAAATAAATAAAATCTTAAAAAAAAAGAACCATTCTTTATAATTAGTGTACATCCTCCCCACTTTTGTTTTATGCTAATAATTTGAAACACACACACTACTTTTTTTTTTTTTATACATGCACACATAAAGCCAAGTGGCTTCCTGCGGTAGATCCCTATTGGGCAACTCTTCCCCAGGAAGCTGGCTCTGTGACAGAGCTTAGGGGGGCTTGTGAAGAAATGATTATCAGTTCACGGCTTAGCATCCTCCACCCAATGACAAACCTGAGAACTGGGGCCATGCCTTCTTGGGTTCTGTGCTGCCCAGACCTAGCATGGCAATCAGTTCTGGTTAAATGAAATAATGAAATGAAATGGGACAGTAACTGTGATTATGTGGATCTTTGCAAACTGAAAAACAATGATGAAAGGATTCATTATGCATTTGCTTGAGACATGGGAAACTCTAGAAAGATTAAGCCATATTTACTTTATGATATTTAATTATGTGTCCTTTTTTGGGAAAAATAACAAGAGTCAGTATCAGCTGACAATATTAATAGTTCTGAGCTCATCTTTAACAGTTTTGAATCATCGGTAGATGAGATTCTTTAATTGTAATTTATAAAGAGGATTAGGGGATTGGTGTGGGATAGAACCAACTATTTGTGAAATATTACTCAATTCAAGTGCTGAAAATTTTTGTTTAAAGAGGGGATTATAAAGCACTATGTTTATGTAGAGCTCTGCAAAGCAGTACCCTCTTCATGCAGCAGAGGGCGCAGGTGTATAGCGTTAGCGACGGAGAAAAAGTAACCGGGAAGTGCGTTCACAGCCATACACTTGAGTGACATATGCCATCCCATGTAAATCTTAAAGTTCAACA